ATTGGTACATTTTAGGTATAAAATACATTTACATTTATCATTGGGTGTTTGTACCAGAACATGATGCATCTTAGTTTTTATTTTTTCTCCCATAACCTGTGCACCCTTCACTTTTCATTAAATTTAAACCTAATTGTGCTAAAAACACGTTTAAAATTCTTCTAGTGATGGCACAGCCCCCATGCATAAATATAGAACAAATTACCAGGTGTGACATTCAAAGGCAATCATAATTTCAATTTCTCCAATCTCTTCTACCATTCTCATATGTGTAATACTAGATATTTTAACTATTTTAGTTTCTTGCATACAAAAGGACTTTTCATACCCTTATGTATATAACATTCCTTTGGCCTCTAAAGCTTCCCTCACCTCTTTATCCATTAGGGTTTAAACAGATAGGAACCCTCTGAGAAACTTGTATAGACTCCAGAAATCTCCTCAGTGCTGCCACTGTACCCCAAACCTATTGAATTTTCTTGTCTGTTTATCTGTGTAGATTATGTGGCAGAAAATGCACACAGTAATTCTTAATATCCATTCTCTTCTTCGCCCCTATTAACAGATACCAATTCTGTTCAATCTGGCCTGTATCCAGCTAAAAAACAGTTATTCTCACTTCCTTACAGCCAGGATCACCATGTGAATCACAACAGAGAAAAACTGGGTTCTGTGGGCAAAATCTGCAGGAAAATCATTGTTTTTTCATTTGTCTATTTGTGTTTGTTTTTGGTCTTGCCTGGAGTATGTGGAGGTTGAAGGTGATGATGAGGAAATGGGAGTCTTGGGTCCTTAATGGCTCTGTGAAGCCCTCGTAACAGCCCTGGTGCCTCATCTGTGGGCTTGTGTGTGTGTTGGGACTGCTACTCGTTCAAAAGGGCCTAGCTGGGTTTCTGTTTGTGCAGCTGAACACAACTCCGATAGCCCGTGATCAGCCAGAGGCAGAGATTCTGCCTTATTCTTCTTACATTTCTTTATGGTAATTTTTGAGGAAAAAAATGTTAGTGTAGAATTTATCAGTCTTTATGTTTAGTCCTTTTTATATTTTGTTTAAATCTTTATCCACCTCAAGAGACAG